TAGAGCTCCAAAGGTGTTGTAAGATTGCTGCTAAAATTAGGGCTTTATCCCCCCTAACACATTCACACCCCCACTTCCCTCTATAACTATAGCAGTGGCTGTTATTAAATCCAACATCATTCAGGAGACATTGAAAGTGTTCCTTTTCTACTTATCACTTTGTACCTCACATAATGTGATGTTTAAAAATACCTGTTTTAGCATACAACTCAGGAGCAGAGAAATACTTTTTAATATAACATCACACAAAGTGCAGACTGTCAGCACATAGTTGCTCCAGTGGAGCTAAAAACAACCACAAAGATAATATGTACACTTGTTTTATATCAGAATAAATGTAAACTAAAAGAGACAATTAGATTTTCTGTGACAGTATTTATTTCTCTGTCTCTAGCAGATTAAGAAAGCAATCACTGCCTCTGCTCTGAAGGATGATGTGGCTGTGGTAGAGTGTGAGAGCAGTGTGTTTGTGTTGTAGTTGTGTTTCTGTGTATGTCTGCATGTGGGCACGTGTAGTCGAAGCAACTGGTGACGCGGGTAATGACGAGCCTGCTCTTTGTTTAGGTCTTCCAGCAGTGAACATTCTGCACCTTAATCATGCATGCAATGTACATACAGTACAAGTACATTCAGGACATACACACCAATTTTGTTTTTCTTGATGTGATATTGTGTTTAACTTCAAATATAAGTTCCTATTTAAACATGTATAAGTTAGTATTTAATTCAGGTTGCGTGTATTTTTACAGGCTAAGCAGCAAATGCATCTTCTGCTTGTTCAGTTGCTGTATTCATGACCAACCCTGTCGGCAAAAAAACATTATGTACAACTGATTTGTTTTGCATCAAACACATTTTGAGCACCACATGCAAGATGTCGCCTCCTCAGTCCCATGTGTGGTTGGGTTTAGACAACAAAAGCAACGTGTATTGCCTCATGATTCAAGCCCGTGACGAACACAAGTGGTCCCTCATCTCAGTTATTAGTTATGAGGGTCATAACCCAATTGTTGAATAAACAGAAATTTTGACCTAATGATGGCAGTTGATAGAAGGTCAGGGGATCAAAGTTTTTACAGATAATCACCTGGGGACCATGAATACGTACAAAATTTCATGGCAGTTACATATCGGGATATTCCAGTCTGGACCAAAATGGTGGACTGACCAATTGATTTCACTGATATCACTGACATTATGCTATTATACTTTTGACTGAACTCCACATTATGGAAGTGAGAGAGAGAGCTGTCCCATAGCCTCAGCTGGTTTTGCCAACATGTTTTTATGCCTAAATGACAAAATAGGTAAACTTTCAACTGTCCCAAAACAACATAGGCTATATAACCAATTTCCAAAGCGACATACATATCCGTTGGAAAGTACAATGACATAGGGGAAACCGGGTATGGTTGTAGGTTGGGGACGGTGTTAACATCACCAATTCCACCAATTAGGGATTGTATAGGAGCCATGTTATCATTTCAGTATTTACCTACTTCCATTGATAGTGGTTGTCAAGGCTGGAAACAGGCACATTTAGAATATACAGAGAAAAAAAATTATTTTGAAGTTAGAAAGTAATTTTGACCAAGACTATATTTTGTTTAGTATCTAAACTATTGCAGATAAAATTATGTCTTTTATTAGATGAAAATGTAGTTTATTAGGCAACCTGTGATGCATTTTCCCTCTGCTAATTTCAAACCACTATGCTAATACAGCTAGCTAAACAAGGGCTGACAGGAGTGGGGTGTAACACTTATTTAAAAAGTATAACAGCCATCTCTTACATACAGCTAATGACTTTCTTGAATTTATAATTTTTACAGAGTGCCCTATGCAATTTCTGGGCCTACCAAGCCTGCAGTCCAAGGTTACCAGCATTAATTTGTTACAACCTACCCCACTACCGGGGTAGATTTGTTGTTGCAGAAACAAAAAGTGTTACAACCATATCTGGTCTCCCCTATATGAACATTCTCCAAAATGATAAGTGTTCGGCAAGTTACTCAGAAATTGTAATATATTACTAGTTACTTATTACTCCTTAAAAAGGTAATATTATTTCTTTACTTATTACTGGCAGATAAAAGTAACTAGTTACGTTACTAGTGTGCAGAGAAAAGGGAGCGAGCCAGGAGGTGCTGCACGAATATATGCTCCTCAATACAGATCCATAATAAAAAATGATTTTAAATATGCCTAGTAAAAATTTGGGAAATCAGTATGTGGCTGTCAGCGTTGATAATTATCCAAATTATAGGCTAATTATGGGAAACACTGCTTTCACTACCACCCCCCTTCCTGCCCAATCAAAGCAGTCTCTCGCCAAACTTTTAACTAACAACATATCCATAACAGCAGCAAGGAGTGTGGTTTTTACAAAGCATGTAGCCTAGGCCTAACGTTTATTAACACCAGCGGCTGAAATGAAAAAATAAAGCAAGTAAATCCCGACTTTTAAACAGCTGCACATGTAGCCTGTTTATAAGAGCAGTATTCAGTAGTTACAAAACATTGCGTTAACACCACTCTCTCCCGGCAAGTCCAAGCATCAGTGGCAGTAGCTGCTAGAGTTTCTCTCTGTAAGTTTCACGTCACTGTGCTGCTTCAGCAGATGCTTCAATAAATCAGATGTAAATTTGTTTGCGGTTTTTGCTGGTCACGCAGAGTTTACAATAGACGACAATGTTCTTTGCATCTTAGACTGTGACACAACAATGACAGTAGCTACAGCTGTGGACAGAACGCCTCTCTCCCTCGTTCTACATTCTTCCTTTAGTTTTGGCTATCAGCGACATGAACAACAAAGTCAGGTACCGCTGAGCTGCACCACAGTCGTGGATTTACGTCAAGGATGGTGCGTTCAGTAACGAGTAACACAGCGTTACTTGCCTTAGTCACTAGTAATAATATTACCGTTTTAGAAAAGTAATTAGTTACACTACTTAGTTACTGGGAAAAGTAATATTATTACACTGAAAATGATATAAGCATTGGCAAGTACCAGTCCAGCGACAGGCCTACCGGCGTACCACTGGTAAACTTTGTGAAACGGTTGTAGTTTTGTTAGGTTTAGGCAACAAAAGTTCTTGGTTACGTTTAGGAGTTTCTGTTGTGGTTTCTGTTAAAAGAAATACGTTATTAGTAAGTCACATAAGTCGTAAATCACGTAAGACGTAAGTCACGTATGAAATTTTATTTAAATAAAAACTTTGAATATGTCAAGTTTGACTTTCTTTCACATGTGACTCAAACCTCAGTCTCCTTTGTTAAAGTCCTGAGTTTACTTTACACATCCATCCACCCCACCACATACCTGCGTGGACTTTGTTACTCTTTATACTACATCACCTGATTTCTTCCACCTCTAGAGCTCGTAGCCTAACAGAAGATCTAAATATGAGTCGTAATAAGCTGCTGCATAATCAACTTCTGCGGCCATTTTTCTGGTGAGGATGAGTTAGGTTTTGCATATGATTATCATTGGTAAGCTAATGCTTTTTGCATTGCGATGATTTTCTATATTTATTTAAAAAACAGAATAATATGTATAAACGTTGAAGTCTGTTAAAAGAGTATGGCCACAAATAGTAAGATTTCTTTCACTGAGCAGAAGCTTGTGAATTCTGCATTTCTTCGACTTCCAAAGTTAAACTTTGCCTTTATTGTTGAATCAGCTTAACAAAAGTAGTTAAAAAATGAAATTCTTCACATACACTACAATGTTATTCCTTGAGTTTACAAGCGAGATAACAGTAGCTTCCCTGTACAGTATATACCTGTATAACAAATACCTTCACATAGAATATTTAGACAAAATATTACAACAAATACAGATGCAAATATGTTGAATATGTTAAATATCTTACCTTTTAAAGTGTATAGTTCAAACTGCCCTGATGGGTTTCTTTGGGTTATAATTACACCAACTGGTACATATGACATATTGACAAATTGAAGCAAATTAAATGACAAGCAGAAACTAATGTGCCTGGGGGGTTGCACTATACATCAACACAACATTGTTGGCATAGACAAAATATGTGTACATTTTAAAGAGGTTGCAATTTAGATCTTTAGTCTATGATCTAATGGATACAGCTTGAAATGTGCTCTGAGGGCACTGCAACTTTGGCATTCTTTGTTGCATTGGTTCATTTTAATGGTGGTGATCAGTGAATTGAAGTTTATTGAGCTGCTGAAAATATCAAAATTTTTTAACACTTTAAAAACATGTATGTTGTAACAACTGAACATCAAATATAAGTTCATATTTCAACATATATGTATGCCAATATTTAATCCAGCATGTATATTTTTACAGGCTAAGCAGCAAATGCATCTTCTGGTTGTTCAGGTGCTGTATTCATGAATGCGCCAACCCCGTCGGCAAAAAACATTATGTACAACTGATTTGTTTTGCATCAAACACATTTTGAGCAAAACATAATTCCTGGAAGTGCTACTTTTTGCACCACATGCAAGATGTCGCCTCCTCAGTCCCGTGTGTGGTTGGGTTTAGACAACAAAAGCAACGTGTGATGCCTCGTGACTCAAGTCTGTGACGAACACAATTGGTCCCTAACCATAGTTATTAGTTATGAGGGTCATAGCCATTGTTGAATAAACAGAAATTTTGATCTAATGATGGCAGTTGATGAAAGGTCAGGGGATCAAAGTTTTTACAGATGATCACCTGGGGACCATGAATGCCTATCCAAAATTTCATAGTATTTTATGTCATACTTATCAAGATATTCCAGTTTGGACCAAAGTGGTGAACCGACCAACCGATGGTTTAAAATCCTGTCTTGTTATGTTGATAAAAACATATTTCCGGCAAGCTTATTTATGTGATATGTTTTCTAGTGACGCTATCTATCTATCTATCTGTTGTGTTGGTTCATTTTAATGTTGGTGATCAATGAATTGAATTTAAAGATGTGTATGTTTTAAAACTTAATTTAATTGTTTTACTTCCTTATGTCTTACAGGTGTTGAGCTTCAGCTGAGGATGGCAGGAGATTCTCGAATCCTCATGGACCATAATATGGAGATAGGAGTCACACCTGCACAGGTAAACTGCACAGCCACTTCTGGTCAAACACTGCACTGATCACTATGATCTTTCCACAGCTGGGAAAGAAGACCTGAGAGATTATGTGAGAGAAATGTGACATGGTGATGGAGGCTCATTGAGACAGCAGAGGAAGAAAAAGAGATGGGAAAGATATGGAGAGATGGCAATGATTAGTAGGGAAAAAGCTATGTGTGTGAGAAAGAAAGTCAGACTGATGGATTTAAAGCGTGGTGGGAATGAGGAGGATAAAAAGGCTGTTAGATAAACAGTAGATCTCATGTATTCATCGATTAAAGATCAAGCACCGCAAAGTGTAACCAAACCTAATTCTTTAGATAAATTTAAAGATAAATTCAATTAACTTGGCAATGGGGCTAGAGATATAAGAAAAGACTCCCCACTCACTCCCAAAAATGGATGGTGGGGTTGCACTGGTCGTGTCTTGATTCCCCTGCCAATTGGAACCTATGCTGTCTATCCATGCACGTCCAGAATGGCTCAATGAGAGAAAACACCCACCGTTTACTACTGTCACACAGATAGAACTAATGAATTTGTTTATTGACCATCACCCCCACAGACTGTATTGACTACAAATGCCAAAGATTGGATGGCACTGTTTGTGACAGCTTCATCTATCACTCAATTAACCCCAGCCCAAAGTGTGGAAATAAGTGGGTATATCTTCGGCTGCCTTTCATTTAAAAGCAGTGTAGTGTAAAAGTAGTGATTATCGACAATTTAAAAGGTTTCCATCTAAGAAAAGACTGTATTCAGATTCTATATTTGATCCATTATCCCTGAGTGCAGTTGGTAATAAGGGAGCCCATTGACATTTAGTGAATGCATTGTCATCAAACCACTAATTGTGATGCCAGTCAATAAGAATTGTCTTTCAATTCTTCTCTGTCAACGTTCATTTAACCGGGATCACTTCGAATCAATATCTGAAAACCTAATATTGTACATGCAGGCCTGACCAAAGGTGCATGCCATGCACACAGGCCAGCAGTGAAACGGCACCTAAAACATCCTGAAATCAGGTTTAAACAGATTTTATTATCCAGGCTCTAAAATCGAAGGCACTGCAAGGATATTGTAGTGCCTTAGATTATGCCCTTCCCCGGCTGAACAGCGAGAGCGATCGTCTTTCTGATAGAGCAGAGAAGCAGCCAGTGTAACCACAATAGGATGTAACTTTCCTGGCGTTGTGAGCATGACTCTAGAGAGAGCTGGATCACAGGTGTCTGATTAGCAAAGAGAGATTCAGAGGACACAGGAGCTTGCTTCTACACAATGCATTTCAATTATCAGCTCAGATTGGAAGTGTCAGTGTGCTGCCAACGTGTCCTTGGTCTGTTTGAAAGGTGCCTTGCAACTCTGTCCTCCTGTGTGTGTGTGTGTGTGTGTGTGTGTGTTTGTGTCTTTCTGTCTGTATGTATGCATGTGTCTGTGGCAGTCATTGGTTTTTATATATGTTATAAATGTTTTAAAACATGCAATATTAGAATCTTGCATTGTGCATTAAAGCCGGTTTCTAGATAAGTGCAATATGTGTGCCCAGGCATATGCCAGTCTTTTTAAGGATGCCATAAGGGTCTACTGGGGAAGGATGGAGGATATGTTCCTATTCGGGCCTGCCAATGCCCCAGAGGGTGTGAGGGGAGGGAACACAGGGGACAGGGAGGGAGGCAGGGCACAGCTGTGGGGCCAGATCGCCTCGCTGGAGCTGGGCCAACATAGACAAAGACCTGGGCGTCCTTGTGTTATTGTTGTGTCCTTACTTTGTCTTTCTCCCTGTATATAGATGCATGCACTGACATCTACAATGTCATTGTGGAGTAGCACAGAGCAGTGACTTCATAACGGCTCTTAATTTATTTGCCTCCCCGCCAGCAGCACAGAGCGGTGTGATTGTTTCTTTTACAGAGACTGAGAGAAAATCAAATTAAAAAGGTTAACACCTTCAGCAACCAGTGCAAAGTCAAAGCTTTAGAGAAAATTTTAATGAAAAGAAATCACTGTGGCTCTGTAAAGTATACCCATATGGATAAAAACTTAAATTGCTATTGTTCTCTCTCCCTCTTTATGTCTGTCTTTGCTTGCTTGCTTTCTTTCACTCTCCATCATCCCCTTACTTTGCCTCTCTCTGTCTTTATCGTTTCTCGTCCACATAGGTGAAGAAGCTTCCTAAACACTTGCGGGAGGCTCAGATCTCGACAGAGCGTACCCACTTGATTTCTGACCCGGCGAAGAAGCCACGTCAGCGATATGTGCAAAAGGATGGCAAGTGCAACGTTCATCACGGAAATGTGCAAGAGACCTACCGTTACCTCAGTGACTTGTTCACTACGCTGGTGGACCTACGCTGGCGTCTTAGTCTCTTCATTTTCACCTTAGTCTATGTAGTCAACTGGCTTTTCTTTGGCTTTCTGTGGTGGCTGATAGCACTAATCCGTGGGGATCTGGTGCATGCTGATGAGGAGGGCTGGACCCCATGTGTGGAGAACCTCAACAGTTTCGTCTCAGCCTTCCTCTTCTCCATTGAAACAGAGACCACCATAGGGTATGGTTATCGTGTAATCACAGAAAAGTGCCCTGAAGGTATCATACTGCTTTTGGTGCAGGCCATCTTGGGTTCTATTGTTAACGCCATGATGGTGGGCTGCATGTTTGTGAAGATCTCACAGCCAAAGAACCGCGCCGAGACCCTCATGTTCTCGCACAATGCTGTCATATCAGTGCGAGACAACAAGATGTGCCTGATGTTTCGGGTGGGGGACCTGAGGAACTCTCACATCGTGGAGGCATCGATCCGAGCGAAGCTGATCCGCTCGCAGCAGACCAAGGAGGGGGAGTTCATCCCACTCAACCAGACTGACATCAACATCGGCTTTGACACAGGAGACGACCGGCTGTTCCTGGTGTCACCGCTTATCATCTCTCACGAGATCAACGAGAAGAGCCCCTTCTGGGAGATGACAATGGCGCAAATGGAGAAGGAGGAGTTCGAGATCGTAGTTATCCTTGAGGGCATGGTGGAGGCCACAGGTATGAAGGGCGGGGGAGCTGATCAAGGGAAGGGGTAAAGTATGGGAGAAAGGCGCTATGGGGGACATATGGCTGATGGGTAGAAAGACACAAAGATTGATGAAATGTTGGATGCAGGAAGTGAGCTGGGGAGTGATGGGAAAATGGATGAAAAGATAGAGAGAATAATATTAACAGATAATCAATAATTAATGAGGATTTTATTATTTCTATGATTTCATAACAGCTGACAATATTTTTTGAGGAAGGTGAAACTGCTTATTTCATAATCCTTCAACTGCAATTCTGTCTTCATAAATCATTTTGACACGTTTCAAAATATTTGTTACTTCAGCTGAAGCAGACGAGTGAAAGATGATCATGCTACAGTCGCCTCACGTGTTCTCTGTTCTCAGTGCAGCCCGCATTTCCACTGTTGCTACTTCAAGGTTATATCTTTGATATTGTTTATTTCAAAATGAATGAAGTGTAGCTACCCACACTGCTGGTCTGTGTTTTGGGTAAAGGCCAAGCTGTCCTGAAAAGTGCTCCAGCCCAGTTACATTTATGAGGCAGACGTGACCAGGTGTTTTTGTAAAGTTGCCCATAGCTCCTATTTTCCAGCACAAGACTGTAACTCAAAAATCAAAATGAGAACAGTAAATTATGATGTCTATGTACCGTACAATTCATCATCATCATTTTCAATTATAGTGTTTTGTCAATTTTAAAAGCTTTGTATGTATAAATCCGCCTGTCATTCATAATTATATGTGATGAATACAGAAACATTTAGAGCATGATGGCCCACAGCTAGCTGTTAATTTGCTGTTCTAACATTTTTTCTGTGGGGTATTGGCTAAATCAGGTATTGTTTATATGCTGCATTATCTATTGACCTTTGTTCAAAGACTAATTATAATCCACTCAATTTAAATACAATGCATTATACATGTTACTAAATTACTTCATCGGTTATTATCATCCTTTGCATCAGTAAATGAAACACAGTGGTTGATTAGGAGTGTTTAGTCTCGTGCAAACAATTGTATTTTAAATAACTCGCAAGAACCATCGAGCTCCGTAGTGCGGTCAGGCATGGCTTTGCATGCATTGGAACATTTCTGCTCTAGTTCATTTTAGATTTTATTATTTATTTAATATTTTTCTCCTCCAAAGCACCAGTAGTCATCATGCTTCCTGCTCACGCAGCTGGATACTTGACTCAGGCAATAAATCACCTTTCGCTTCACCGGAAGAGACCATGGCATCATCCAGGGGTTATGTCGTCACCGCCCTTGACCGCTAGGCAATGGACCATTATGACCATCCAGTAGCCCTCCCCCTACTTCCTTCCCCTGTTAACCTTAATTAGAGACGTTAAACCACAAAGCATGACCTGGGGAATTAAAGGATAGTTCAAGTTACAGTATTTTCATTGTTTTTTTCAGTTTTTGCCATCATAACACTTGCACTTAAATTTTGTCATCAGCGAACGAAATACATAATTTATGTGTAATAATACAGTCTTGTAATTGACCCACATGGTGAAGTCAAGATGGTAACAAAAAGGTTTGATTAAAGCCTGTAAAAAAGTACTGATAAAATGATTGATAATAATCATGTTTTTAATTGAGTTTTAAGGTCTTCAAGTCACTAACATTAGAATTCACAGCTGAATAAGCACCCTCAGTTGCTGTTTTAAATGTGATGAATCTACTGTCAGTTTAGTTATGTATCAGTGAATGGATGGCCAGTGCTGTGGTATGCAAAAATATAATTTGTATCTGATCTGGAAGGGAAAACATATTAATATTCTTAAAATTCCAGGAGTAATGCCAGGGGGAGATACAGTACAAACATATTTTACATTTTTCTACATTTATGGCCCATATCAAGCAAGTAATGGTCTCATAAAATCAGCATCCTATGATGTTAATGAATTACACAGGTGTTATATAGTATAGAGTAAAAACTCTCTATTAAACAAAATATGTACCACATCACAAGTTGGATACTGTCACAGTGTTTGGAAGTGACAGATAAGGTGGTGGTGGTGGCTTCTCTTGTGCCATCATTTGTTTTCTCTGTTGATATCCAGCCTGTGGTTTTAAGCATGACTGTGAGTCAGGCTCTGGAAATCACTAACAACATTTGATTCTAAGGCAGTTCCAACATTCTGCCCTACTACTTGATGACACATCTTAAATGGACTAATGAAAATATGTAGAAATAACAGTACACTTAATGAAATATATATATATATGTACATTTCTGAAAAAAGTAGATGTATATGTCTAAAATTACTGATTCAAATAACTGACAGACATGTCGTTCTCCCCAGTACCATCATCTTTGCTAATGCAAGGCCTCTGAATTCTTTGTTATCACCGCAGTTTACAAATTGCTGAGGGATTCCCCAGACTCACGGTGTACCTTGTCTGTATATTTTTCATATCTAATCGTTTATTACTTACTTTTGATGATAAATCACCAACTTAACTAATTGCCTAAAGAAGTTTTTCAATGCAATTAGCTGACTAATATTTTGCTCTGAAAAAAAGTGATTATGCTGCAGTTTATTGTAACGATTCAGGTCAATGCTCTGCTGTGCGGCGGCCTAGTCATGTGCGTCAGTGATGCCGACAACAAACTTGTTTTCATTATTGATAGTGTCTCTCAAGATAGGAGGTTTAAGGCTGTTTTTTTTATTTTACTGTAAACTATTCACATGTAAAATATGGCCTGCTTCATGCCATTTCTCCGAATCCAGAAAGCATCTTGCATCAATATTGTTGCTGTGTAAACAAGAGTGTTTGCAGTCGTGTTTTTTGTTTTACACTTTCCAGGAAAATTCACGAAAACAGACACCTGTAGCAGTGCCCAAAAGTAAGTTTTCTAAACGGATACTAGTAGTGGTTTGTCTAATGAGAAAAGTAGGTACCGCTATACTGTATCTGGGACAACCGGAAAGCTTACTTGCATGTAGCGCAAACAGTCTTTTCAATTAGAGTTGAATACAATTTCAGCCAACCAATCCATTGTAATTTATAATAATCTGTCACTAATTATTTTTGTTTTTAAAGTTATCCAAAATATGAACACACTGTTGATTGATGCAAAGTAATCACAACCACACCAAGACAATGTCATTAGCGAGCCAGATTTCCAGAAGTTCCAATCCTCCAGTTCTGGTCCCGCAGTTCGATTCTAACATACACCACCTACTGGCAAGGAAAGGAAACAACTTTTGCAATTTTGATACCTCCAGGCAATGAGTGTTATGTTGCTTTCAGACCAAAAGCAAAGGAAGTATTTGAGGTGGCGCGATTACATACAAAGTCAACGAAAAGACACGGAGAGCCGTGAATTCCTGTCGGGCGGCGCATAGGGGAGTTGAACATTTTTAATTTTAAATAATTTTATCTTGACGCTGTGTTGCGATAGCCTATCAGTGTTGAGATTGTCCAGACATCACTGACGGCTTCAGAACGTTGTTTGGAGAGGACCAGGCAGAGTGAGGGAGTCAAACGCCGCTGGCCGACAGAGAGAAAACAAACATTTTAAAAGTTGTTGTTCCACTGTCTTGTTGACAGACCTGACAAAGCATGAATTCATATGTTTAACAAATTGGCATCATGTTGTAGTTATTTCAGCATCAGTTTGATTCATTTATTGCAATTAAATCACAGCAAAATGTTTACTTTGGGTTAATACAGTTATAGTAATCACGGGTTGTGTTTATTCGCATTATCGCATTGTGTGTGAACACTTGGCAGGAGTCCAGCAATAAAACCCCTGTGAGGAAAGCGTTGTGAGGATTAAATTTGGTCTGAATGCACAGGCTGCAGTATTTTTTCTTTGTCTGTATTTGGTAGCTAAGCTGCTGTTTGAATGTTTGTGTTTCATAATTCACAAATTAGGCCTGCAAAGCATACAAATGTGGTTCGTAGTAGCATATTTTCAGCTGAATACTGATTTTTTTTAGTGTCACTGTGTGCTGTCCACAAAGGGTGTCCTTGTAGTTGGGGCAGGAGGGTTGTTCCTAACCAAAAACACGAAAAACACTTGCCACGAGACAAGCCCTCAGCATCTTGGTTTCAGGTAACTGAATTATTAAAATTTAAGTTTCAGTTGTACAGGAACACGTGCCAAATGCAGGTTATGTGCCAAGCTGTTCAGTTTTGCTTAGTCAGCACAGGACACGGGATCACATACAGAAAGCCTTGAGGGGAAATCTAAGTCACCACAAAACATAAGGGCAAAGAACACATGAAGAAGACCTTGTCATACCTCAAAATATCAAATATATCAAATTGCTAAGTTTCTTTCTATAAATACATTTGTCTTTTGACATAATCCACATGTATGATCTAGAACAAATGAACAGTTATACCTGCTTACCAGGAACAGAATATTAAATGAATGCAAAATATGTACCGAGATTATATTTGACATATAGGCTCCGGACCATGTCACTGCATGCAAGGATATATCAAACTGAATTCAGCAGAGATTGCGACAATCTGTTCTGTACCAAGTCGTTTTGGTGCCTAAATCTAACCAAATTGTGATGTTTCACAATGTTAACCACTTGTTTTATTTTTGCATATTTGTTAATGCCAACTTGACACATCCTACACGTCCAAAAACAACACAAAAGTGTACCCGGGGCGTTCAAAAGTGATGCCCAGGGGCTTTGACCAGGCATCCATATGTGACGAGCTGGGAGTGAGAATGTGTTGATTGGGAAATGACAACAAACTTTCCCCCAGGGGCTGGATGTTGGGGTGTAGGCCATTATGAAGTACTTCATGAGAAGGTGCAGCAGCACCATGTGATTGCAGCAGCCACACCTGCAATAAAGTTCTGACATTCTGTCCTATCAACTTGGGTAAAGCTAGGGTGACCATATTTTGGTTTTCAAGGACGGTCGAAGCTGTGGGGGATTCAAGTAATTGGTGGCAATGTGTATGGGACTTTAATAGGTCCTACATGTGGGCTTCTAGATTGCTAGCACCTTTTTTTGACAGTGACACGTAATACCAGCTTTGCAGGT